ATCTCGCAGTTCACGAGTTAGAGCCCCACGTCGGGCTCTGTGCTGACAGCTCAGAGCCCGGAGGGAGCCTGCTTCGGATTCTGCGTCTCCCTCTCTCTATGTCCCTGCCCTGGTTGTTCTCTCTCTCTCTCTCTCTCTCTCTCTCTCTCTCAATCTGTCTCAAAAATAAATTTTTTAAAATTTTTTTTTTTTTCAACGTTTATTTATTTTTGGGACAGAGAGAGACAGAGCATGAACGGGGGGAGGGGCCGAGAGAGAGGGAGACACAGAATCGGAAACAGGCTCCAGGCTCTGAGCCGTCAGCCCAGAGCCTGACGCGGGGCTCGAACTCCCGGACCGCGAGATCGTGACCTGGCTGAAGTCGGACGCTTAACCGACTGCGCCACCCAGGCGCCCCTCAAAAATAAATTTAAACAATTAAAAAATTAAATAAAATAAAAATACGACCTCCTAAAAAAATAAAAAAAAACTTAATAAGCATGATAATTACCATAATACTAGGCATGGGGATTGTAGGGTGAAAGGGGAAAGGGGGGGAAGATGAACTGAAGGCATGAAGCAACTGAAAGTAAGACCTGACTCTCCAAGTGCTCAGTTAATGTTTCTGGAACTCTTCCTGCCTGACATGTCTGCACAGCCTGGTGTTGGAACTGGGAACACCGCCAACTGTGAGCACTATACATATTCATCTCTGGCTTGGGTTTTTTACTCTGCAAGGAAGGTGGCTGAGATCTGCTTAGCTTGGCAAATCATACAAAATGGGCTTCTCCACAGAGTGTTGCCTCTTCACTAGGACACAGCCCAGACTGATGCTTGAGGCTTTATCCTTTTTGGAAATAAATCCCCCAAAGAAAGTGCAACTGAAGCATGCTTGTAAAGAGAAGAATGCAAACGTTGGTACAGAAAATCAGTTGCTTGAGAAATAATGAGTGGAAAATTTTAAACGTTGGTTATAAAATATATTTGAATACAATCATCCTTGAATACAATATATTTGAATACAATACAGAGCCTTACCAGCTCTGCTGATGGATGCAACTACCAGTTTGTTTTAGCTTTGGATAGGAATCAAAACCACATGACCACAAACTCTAGATCTAGATGGCTTAATTATAGAAGATTCTAGAGCACTGACAATAACTCGTCTTTGGTTGGAACGAAGCTCTCTTAACCACTCTCTCTGTAACCATTACTGGATTAACTGATTCTCCATCCTCTTTGTAAAATGTACCTTTCTTTTTTTTTTGAATTTTTTGAATGTTTAGTTATTTTTTGAGGGAGAGAGAGAGAGAGACAGAGACAGAGACAGAGCATGAGTGGCAGAAGGGCAGAGAGAGAGGGAGACACAGAATCCAAAGCAGGCTCCAGGCTCTGAGCTGTCAGCACAGAGCCTGACATGGGGCTCGAACTCACAGACTGCAAAATCATGACCTGAGCTGAAGTCGGAGGCTTAAGACTGAGCCACCCAGGTGCCCCTAAAATGCACCTTACAATGCCATAGAATGCTCTAGTGTAATAGGTCTCTCTCTCTAGTACCTCTGTGAATCTCTGTTCCTGCTAACAATTGTGTTGTAAGCTTAAAAATTCAGTCAATTTAGTTTATTCCCAAGCTTGTTGATGTTAGTTTTAATAGTTTTTGTAACTATGTAATCTGATGAATCTCACATAACCTATGAAACCTGAGTACAGTGGTTCTATGAAAACAAAATCAAATTCTTTGGAAAGATTCAATAAGGGAGGTCGTTAGGCAAAAATCTACTGTTAATTCTGTAGAAGAAAAACTTGAAAATATTGGGCAAGTAAAAAAATCTAAATGGAGTAAACATTCAGATTAAATTCTTTAAATTTTCACTATATTAAAACAAAAACAAAACTGGAGATCATGAGCTGTATATTATATGTATGGTTTAGGAATCCAAACAAGTAAAAAGACTTGTAACTGTGATCAGCAGAATGATATTCATAGCAAAGAAGTTGGCTTCACCCCTGAGATTGGTAAAATTTTAAGTTAAATGTTTATGCTATCCATAGCTATCATTTTCTGTTAATTCCCCACATTAGCTGTGTCATTCAATTATGGACTTTTTTCAATCAGCTCTAGGTTCTTATCATAATCAGATAAAAGACCCTCTACTACTGCTCAGACTGTGTTCCTTGGACCACAGTAGGAAGGCTGCTAGAAATGCAGAGTCTCGGGCCTCATCTGGGTGTAATATCCAGGAACTGTGTTCTAACAAGCTCTTCAGGTGATTCTGAGGCCCTTAAAGTTTGAGAAGCCTTGTCCCATTGTGTTCCTCCATTACTGGAAACACTACCAATGAATATAGCCCTTTTAGAAAACAACAGGATACTTCCAATCCATGAGCATGGAAAATTTTTCCATTTCTTTGTGTCTTCTTCAATGTCTTTCATAAGCTTTCTATAGTGAAAGATATATGATTTCACTCATATGTGGAATTTGAGAAACTTAACAGCTGATCATAGGGGAAGGAAGGGAAAAATAAGATAGAAACAGAGAGGGAGGCAAACCATAAGAGACTCTTTACTTTTTTTTAAGTCTCTACCTCATGGAAAAAAAATTTTTAAGTGTTTTATTTTTATTTTTATTCTTTGGAGACAGAGAGTGCGAGGGGGGGGGGGGGGGAGAGAGAGGGAGAATAAGAATCAAAAGCAGGCTCCAGACTCTGAGCTGTCAGCACAGACCCCGACGTGGAGCTCGAGTCCAGGAACTGTGAGATCATGACCTGAGCCGAAGTCTGATGCTTAACTGACTGAGCCACCCAGGTGCCCTTATAAGAGATTCTTAAATACAGAGAACAAACTGAGGGTTGTTGGGGGGTGGGGTGGGGTAAGTGGGTGATGGGCAATAAGGAGGGTGCTTGTTGAGATGAACACTGGGTGTTATATGTAAGAGATGAATCACTGGGCTCTACTCTTGAAGCCAAGACTACACTGTATATTAAGTAACTTGAGAATTAAAAATAATTAAAGAAAAAAAAAAGAAAACAATATGATACAAGACCCATCAGGAATCATGAGAAGTTCCTTTTTACTCTTACTCAGCAGTTCTACTTCTAAAAATATTTCCTAAGGGAATAACTCAAAGGAAGAAGAAGAGTTGAGTAAAGATATCCATACGTAAAGATGTCTGTGATTGTACTATCTACAATAACTGGAAGCCATCTAAGTAAGAAGAGAAAAATGATAAATAAATTACAGACAGACTGGTAGATATTAAGTGTTTGAAAAGTGGGTAATGTGCTTATGAAGGTGTAACACACACTGATTATGTAATACAAATATCAACTAGAAAATGACTAGTTCCATTGTGTTAGGGTAGTATTGGGTGATGCTTTAGTTTTCATTTAAAAAAAATTTTTTTTTCAACGTTTATTTATTTTTGGGAC